TAAGCCGCCCTGAGTCCCCTTCGGGGTGAGAAGGGCGGGGTAAAAGAACCCCGAAATAAATAAAATAAATAATCCAAAATAAACTGGGTATACAGCTATTGCTGGAATAAAGGCCGTTACCTGGTATATTCATAAAGTGCTGGTACAATGCTACAGTATTGTCTTCTTATAGCCAGTAAAGCACCAATGTAACCACATAGTATTAACAACTCATTTCGAAACCTGAAAATAGAATAGCATTCAAATAAAAAGTGTTTCTTATTTTACTCAGTCATCATGCATGAACATGACACATACTAATTTATTTTCCACACTCCTATGGTGTTTTTCAGCTTTAAACGTTCCAAAAAATGATTTATAAAGCAAACAAAAAAACCCAAGTATTAAATATTTTTTTTAAAAAGGAGCAATAAAGCACACATAACCTGAAATAATGGAAACTATACTCTGGAAACCTCTCTTATATTCTTGGTAAAATAAAACTTAGTATGATAAAACTATCTTCACCAGCAACACTAAGGGCAAGGCAACTCTAGTGAGGACAGAAATGCTAGGATCACTATTATACAGTTTTATTTTCAGTCAGTTAGGTAAAGGTAAAGGTTTCCCCTTGACCTTAAGTCTAGTTGTGTCCGTATTTCGGGGGTGATGCTCATATTCATTTCTAAGCCAAAAAGCCAGCGTTGTCCGTAGACACCTCCAAGGTCATGTGGTCAACGTGACTGCATGGAACATTGTTACCTTCCCACAGAAGGTAACATGCAGGTCTACTCACATTTCCATGTTTTTGAACTGCTAGGTTGGCAGAAGCTGGGCCTAAAAGCGGGAGCTCATCCTACTCCCCAGATTCGAATCTCAAACCAACTTCAGCAAGTTCAGCGATTTAACCCGCTGATAAATATAATAGTTCAGTTTGGCAGACAGAAGAGGTTTCTGCCTAATATAGGGAAAGAAAGATGTAAGAATAATGGTATTTTTTTTTTCCGTGTCAGGAGCGACTTGAGAAACTGCAAATCGCTTCTGGTGTGAGAGAATTGGCCGTCTGCTAGGATGTTGCCCAGGAGATGCCTGGATATTTTTTTTGATGTTTTATCATCCTTGTGGGAGGCTTCTTTCATATCCCCACATGGGGGAGCTGGAGCTGACATTGGGAGTGCATATGTGTTCTCCCCAGATTCAAAACTGCAACCTGTCGTTCTCCAGTTCTTCCGGCACGAGGGTTTAACCCACAGTGCCACCAGGGATTCCTAGAATAATGCTAAATTATCTGGTGGCTAGTGTATGTGTGCTCTAAAGAAAAGACAGCGAAGGGTGATGTGGAGCATCCAAATGCAGGAATATTAAGTGTATGAAGCAAGAAGTTAAGTATCAATTGTTAAAATGTAAACATGAAACATACTTACTCACTACATTTATGAAGCAGTAATTTTTCCGTGCGTATATAGCTCAAAAGATCAAGAAATGGCCAGACTGAGTCCAGGGTCCAGTTTGAACTGCTGATGTGTTCTACAGAATACAAATTGGGGGAAAGGAACTAAATAAAGTGGACAAAGGAGTAAAACATATGAGCATTTTCATTCAGCAGCTTCATTCATCTAGCTTACCTTTGACATACTGAATGCCTATAGGAAGTGCTTTTTCTGGCTCTATAGTTAACAAAAAGTATTTTATTGACTCAAATGTATTTCCTTCCATTTGAGCTGCCTCTGCTAATTGCATACATTCTTCAACATCTGGTAAGCTGCACTGAAAGATAAAACACATACAAAGAAACAATTGAATTGACAGAATTATTTGTAGAGAAAATGCTTGAGTGATGTGCTTAAGAATGGATAAAATGCCCAAACATAAAGAAGTCTTCTTTCCTACCCAGCAGCATGAGGACATAGATGCATGCTTGTAAACAATACAAAGGAATACATTCTGGGGAGAGAGGACAGGTTAGAAATAAATTATTATTATTATTATTATTATTATTATTATTATTAAATTCCTTTTGCATCTTCAGCACTTCATTTCTATACTATATTTACTTGATTCTAGCGCCCAACTAAGGCTGGATCTACACTGCTCTATATCCCAGGATCTGATCCCAGATTATCTGCTTTGAATCATTATTATTATTATTATTAATAAACTTTATTTGTACCCCGCTAGCATCTCCCGAAGGACTCAATGCGGCCTACAAAGGCCATAGTGCCAGATAGTCTAGGATAAGAAAATAATCTGGGATCAGATCATGGGATATATGGCAGTATAGACGCAGCCTAAGTAAACATCTCCCTTAAATCTGGGTGTTGCAAATAGCAACCTTCTACAAGCCTCCTATATGAGTTGTTATGTATATAATTGTGATTGCTTACTATATTGTATGTTTATATATTGTTTTTCAGTTTTCCCTTAACTCTATGTTGTTTGAAGTTGTGGGAGGAACTGCAGACCATGTGACCAGATCTGGGACTATTCAGACTGAGACTCCATTTTAGAAGTCAGTTTGTATCAGAAGCAGTAGTTTAGGATTCAGTTGAGTTTTTGAAATTAGAAGTGTTAGTATGAGTAGTCAGTGTCAGTATGCTGCAGTGAGTAGTCAATCTTTATTGAGTCAATGTTCAGTAATAGATTAGACTGAAGAGAGTGTTAGTCTGTATGCAACAGGGAAGAGACTAAAACAGAATGCTTTAGAGAACTGTTTAAACTATCAATCAATAAAGAATATGCTGAATACATGATGTTTGTAAGTAAATCAACAATGTTACTTTTAACAAAGACTACTCATTTTTGGTCTCTTGAAGGAATGATTTAAAAGCAATATATTTTATGGGAGAGTAGATAGGTACCGCTCCGGCGGGAAGGTAACAGTGCTCCATGCAGTCATGCCGGCCACATGACCTTGGAGGTGTCTACGGACAACGCTGGCTCTTCGGCTTAGAAATGGAGATGAGCACCACACCCCAGAGTCAGACATGACTGGACTTAATGTCAGGGGACTACCTTTACCTTTACCTAGATTTTTTTTGAGGCAACTGAAACAACACTTCTGAAGATCTGCTATATATGCATATTTTGGACATTGGACTATCTTTGTTCCTAATAGTTCAGAGAAATAACCAGGTATATCAGTCTAACAACTGAGAAGCCTAATTTGCCTTGCATGGATACTAGTGGATATTTACCACCAAGGAGAACATTCACCCAAACGATTATTTAACTCTTCTCAGGAGATCGCACTTTACAAAAAGTTTATGATTATTCCAAATACCGTGAATGCTAATTAATCTTCAAAAGGGTCATGCTTCCAAAAGACTATGGTGATTCCTAGTTTTCCAAAATGTTATGATCTCTAAAAGGTCACACCTTTCCAAAAAGATATATAGGGAAGTATAGATCTCCCTTAAATCTGAGAAAGGGCCGCTTTCTTACTTTGCGAGGCCACCATTCAACAACTCAGTTATGCCTAATAACCTTCATCCATGTATAGCCTTTTCAGTCTCTTTTGTAGGAAATATTATTGGCAATCCCAGTGAAGAAATTCTGTGTGATCTTGTACACATAGTGATTTGTGCAGAATCAAATCCTGAGGCAAAACATTGTCGAATTGTGCCTTTTAAAGAACGGGAATATGTTTTGTAATGCCCACTTATAAACATGAACAGTGAAATGTCTCTGTAATACCTTACAATAAACTAGAAATTAAACTAAATACTATGATGAACAAATAATTGTGGGGGGTTAAAAGATAATTGGCCTTTCAAGTGTACCTTTTCATGTAGATCATTTATCTCTGCTGTACATCCAGGATAGAAAGCGCAAAGCTTTACTAACTGTAGTTCATTACTGGGAATCATCATGAGAAGATCTGCTGCTAAATCCCTGCAAAACAACAGAGACAACTCACATTTCACCCAATTTATAAGTGAGGAAGCAATGACAGAGTTAGGATTGCTTAGTTTTACTTTTCTTTCTTTTTTGACTACGGAAGACACAAAACAACTACACTGATGACAACTTATACACATTTAAATAATGAGGAGTGAAAGAAGAGAGTTGTTAATGTAACTACTACATGCAACAATACACATCCAATTCAGATGGTTACACAACCTAGAATTAAGAAATCTTCACAAGTCTCGTGTTAGGCTTAGGTGATGAGGAATGAGCTGCCCTGAGCCCTAAACTGGCATAATTCCCCATCTTCTCACTAAATAGTAAAATAAAACTTATTTGGAATAAACTATAGATCCAGGAGTTATCTAAACTAGAATCAATGTGATTTTTTTGTTGTACTTAAAGTTAGTCAACTAATGAAAACTCTGGAACGATGGTTTGATCATGCTTTGTTTTCATTAGCTGTATCTATAGAAACCCACCATTCTGTAAATGTGGGCACAACAGAGAACTCTGTTTCTGAAGCTTTCACTCTTATCTGACATACAAAGAGCAAATCCAGGCTCAATGGGCTGAGTTGAGACCATTTAATTTGAAGGTCTATGTATCCAGGTTGGATTTTGGTTAGATTTAAAGAGGGGCCAAATACCCTAAAGTGACCAGTTCTTGTTTGATCTTGGAAACTAAGTAGCCAACCTGGTTAGCCTTGGATGGGAAATTACCCGTAAATACCAAAAACTGCAAGCTACATTTTAGAGCAGTGGTTCGCAACCTTTTTTTGACCAAGGACCATTTTGACCAAGGACCACTTTGGGGTTGCCATCATTTCAAATATAAAGAACTATCCGTTTTGGCCTTAAATGAGACCACTGCAGTACTGCTTAGTCCCTCAGATTGTGGTGTGTTACTTAAATCATAAAGTAGAAATTTGCATATAGAGGTCATTTTACTTTTCAAAAGTGAAAGCATTCTTTGTCAAATTTAAATACAAACAACTACTAATAAATGTATTATTTTTTTTTAAAAAAATCTCATAAGGTATTCTCCTATGCTTACAAATATTTTTCTATCAATCTACACCAGTGGTTCTTAACCTGTGGGTCACGGCCCAGCAGTGGGCTGGAAGGACAAAAATCTGGTCCGCGAAGCTCCTTCATCTTTATTTTATTTTATTTTCACTCCTTTCCACAGAGCTGACCAGCCTCATCCCTTTTAGTACTAATGTTGGAGAACAGTCCCAGGTCAAAGTCAATAATTTCAAAATTTTCAATAATTTGTTTTATAAAAGGACCATATACTTGGATGAATGGGTGCCAAAATGTTTATTTGTCCCCTTAAGGTCTCCGAAAGTCATAAACAACTTGAAGGCACACAACAACAAGAATCCGTATGCCCCAATCTCCAATGCTAATATTAATTCTGCTATAAGTTCAGCATAATATTATTTTTTTGTATGCCATAGCCATTTGCTTGTTGAATTATCAGGATAAAGCTATGACATTTCAGACTTATGCTTCATAGAAGCACACAGGAATTGAATGTATTTCATAGATGAACATTCTGCTCTTAGATCTTATCATCATTTTTACATATATTGAAAATATATTTTTCCTCTATGAGAAACATCAAGACAAGGCATTGAATCTTCTTTTTAATCTAAACAAAGACTGGGCGACTTGGAAGGCGCTGAACAGACTGCGCTCTGGCACCACGAGATGCAGAGCCAACCTCAAGAAATGGGGCCACAAAGTGGAATCCACGACATGTGAGTGTGGAGAAGAGCAAACCACTGACCACCTGCTGCAATGCAACCTGAGCCCTGCCACATGCACAATGGAGGACCTTCTTGCAGCAACACCAAGTAGCCAGATACTGGTCTAAATACATTTAATCAACTACCAAACTTGCACATTTTGTGTTTTGTCTGTCTGTCTGTTTGTTTGTTTGTTTTGTTCTGTTAGAAATTTAATACAATTGACTGGTTGCCCTGACATGACAAATAAATAAATAAATCTAAACACAAGGGACATTTTCACAAAGGGTTGGTTAGAATCTCTCTAGAAACAAGCAAATACCTGTATCCAGGTGATGGAAAGCTAAAACAAAGATATTTAAATTGTAACAAACCAACGTTGCATTCAGATATTAACATAAACAATGGAATTGGCAAGAGGTGGAGAATGAAAACATGCAGTAAAAATACAAATTAAAAACATTGCAAAAAAAACCCCCAGCTTTGACACACTACCATGAGAAGTCAATTGGATTTTGGAAAATGAAAACTTTACTTAGATTAGATATCAGTATATGATTCTGAAATGTGGTATTCAATCGATGCCCCCTCCCCTCTAGACTAACATAGTGGTTTGGGGCAATTTCCCCCTTTCTCTCGTCTGTCCCAAATTTGATCCTGTGGGTTGGAAGGGACTTTAGAAGAGTATATGCGTTAATAAAAGCACAGATACATAGTGAAATAGTTTTCTCTGAGAAATGCTTTCCTTGATTTTTTTAAAGCCTTTGGTTGGCAAATGGACATGATGTAGAAAAGAAAGTAAGGAACAGCTAGAACAGAGGCCCATTTAGTTCAGGACACAAGGATGTGCATTCGGGCCAAAAGCCATGCCATTTCTGATTCCGTTTCCAGGTCCGTTTTCATCTGACCCCTCATTTTATTTACTTGAAAGTTACTCGAAAGGGGAGGGGTGTTTCTGTTTTCATTCAGCAGAGATTTGGCCCATTAGCTACAATTGTAAACAAAGGCTCAATTCTCAGTCATTTTAAGACCTATCTGCATGAAACCTACCTCAGTCTTAGACCTCATTTACAACTGCAGGCCTGCCAAGTTTCAGAACAAATCACAAATCTACTGATTTTTTTGAATTATTTTTTCTGGGAATTGTAGTTGCTGGTTGTGTCCATTGGCAGCCAATCAGAGCATGGACACCGAGCTTTTTATTTGATGAGACGGAGAGAGAGAGAAAAACTTCAACTCTATAAAGACAGCTGTATTCGTATTATGCTAAACATGTTCCTGGAGATGACGTTCAAATTTTGATTGTTTTTGTGTGTGTGTGAATGAAAACTTTTTTAAAAACAAAAGCTGGGTTTTGGATATCCAAAGTCTTGATCTATAACAATGTGCATGGCTTGTTAATGAGAAAATTCTTTGGAGTAAGTCATTCTTACCATGTTGTTATACTCATACATTTTCTTGCTAGTAACTCTAGTGCATAATGTGTTGCTTGGGCTGCACATTCTCCTAAGACAGTACCCACGCTGACTGCCAACTCCAGTTCGTTTCCACGAATCAGGTATGCCATGGCAAGCTTGCTCAATAAGAAAATCATATCATTAAGCATTAGAAGCACTTCAAGGATTCAATGATACCAGCATGTCAACATTTATTTTCAAAGGCTACGTTAAGGTGCAACAGAAATGTGCATTATGGAATCAGACTCAAAGGGAATGTCTGTACATCAGAAAAAGCTATGATCTGTCTTAAATAGTTTCTCACTAACACCATGAATTGCACGGAAGACCTACCAACCAAAACACAGGTTGACTTCTCCATTTTGGTGTGTTTCTTTACTTCCCCCTTTCCTAGTTCCAAATTTAGGATTTCCAAGTGTGAAAATAAACCAGGAATAAGCTATGTAGAAATCTGGACATCATGACAAGCTATGCTTTAAACAAGCCAGAGTTTGTAACAAGGAATCACGGATACAGATTGCAGCTTGTTGTTGGGCTGCTTAATAACTCACAACATGCTAGGAGAGATAGGTTTGCAAAACATGACAAAACATGATGTGTTCTCTAAAAATGTGACTTCTTGTGATTTATGAATTCAGCTCTGTTAATAAGCAATAACACAATGTAACAAAATTTGAAAAAAGTATGTTCCTAGTTTGAAAGTGTTATTTCCTGTTTAATTGTACAGTACTTAATTTGAAAGTAGTTGTTATACTCTAAAAACTTTGTTTTTATGGCTGCCACAAACTGTGTTAGATTGGTTGAGACTCTTATGAGTTATTCATTGAAAAAACTATAGCAAAATGTGCTGCAAAAACAAAGTTTTGGCAGTTCAATACACTTTTTCCATGTTTTTATGACAGAGCCAATTAAGAAATAACATTTATAACACAGGAACAAAAATAGTATAATCTGATATTTGTGGTCAATGAGGCCCCTCTCCACTGTCATATAATGCAGATGATCAAAGCAGATATTTCACATTATCTGCTTTGATCTGGATTATATGAGTCTACACTGCCATATAATCCAGTTCAAAGCAGAAAATCTGGGTTTTATAAGACAGTTTGCAACCCACAAAAATAATGGGAGGGGGGATGTTTCTGGAAACATCAGAGTGAAATGGGAAGTTTATTTCATAATGTGACTTGCTTAAGATAAAAACGCAGGATTTAATATTTATTCCAAACAGCAATAGAAAAAATCCTGAGTTTTTAAAGATGGCAAATTGATTGTAACACATGCTACTTACTCTAGAATGGATAGTTACTTCATTTCTATTTCTTTAACATATAAAGATTATAAAGCAGATCCACTCATTTATAGAAATCTGAGCGTCCTGCTTTTATCTGCAGTCTTGGAAATATTGACTGCTTGCAAGTTCTGGTATCCACCATAAGAGGTAGATCCATAAATGACTTTTCCTCTCTGGGGAGGGCTTCTAAAAAGAGAGCCAGCCATATGGGTACAACATTTATTTCCACACTCTGTTCATGTGTTTTTTTCAGCCTCACGTATACTTCTTCACATTCAGGATATTCCAACATGGTAAACTATCTTATTTTTACATAATCTGTATAAGGTATTTACCTCAATATTTTCAACAGCCAAATGGCAACAAGCAGCCAGCACTGCATAGCCATCTTGAAAATACGACTCAGCAAGTTCTTTACTGACCTTATGTAGGATCCTATAAAGAAACAAGTTTTGAATGATGACGGAAGCTATTAATTAATAACATTTTGAATAATTTAATGTAGAGAACAGTCTTAAACAAAATTTTGTGGACCTATCATGAGTGGCTACCCAGTTTCCTTATGATGTTCTTGTTATATGGCTCCCAGTTTCTGCTAAATCCGTAGCACAACATAGTTTATGAATGGCAGAAGAATGCCCATTTCTCATCTCTCTTCCTTCTGATGGAAGGATTGAGGCAGTCAACATCTATCCAACATGAGGTTCATACCAAATAGAATCAAATAATCATAAAGTTGAAAGAGGATTCGTGGGCCATCCAGTCCAACCCCCTACCAAGAAGCAGGAAAATTGCATTCAAAGCACCCCCGACAGATGGCCATCCTCTGTTTAAAAAGACTCCAAAAAAGGAGCCTCCACCACACTCCAGGGCAGAGAGTTCCAGTGCTGAACAGCTCTCACAGTCAGGAAGTTCTTCCTAATGTTCAGGATGGAATCTCCTTTCTTGTAGTTTGAAGCCATTGTTCTGTGTCCTAGTCTCCAGGGCAGTAGAAAACAAGCTTGCTCCCTCCTCCCTATGACTTCCCCTCACATATTTATACATGTCTCCTCTCAACTTTCTCTTCTGCAGGCGAAACATGCCCAATTCTTTAAGCAGCTCCTTATAGGACTTGTTCTCCAAACCCTATAATACAAGGGACTGATCATATCATCTTCATCATTTTAGTCACCCTACTCTGGACACATTCCAGCTTGTCAACATCTCCCTTCAATTGTAGTGTCCAGATTGGACACAGTATTCCAGATGCGGTCTGACCAATGCAGGATAGAGGAGTAGCATGCCTTCCCTGGATCTAAACACTATACTCCTATCGATGTA